CATAAAAAATTAAACAATTATGAAAAATAGTGAAAATATTTACTATCCAGTAAAAACAGGATAAATTATAAGCATTTCTTAATTACTCGAAAAAATTATATTTTTGTAATTAGATAAAAATGCTACAATATTTTGATTATTACATGGCTGATTCAGCTTCGTTTTGTCAGTTTTACATAATCATAAAAATAAAATTGAATATATGGAAGTTTGTGCACATTAAGTATGCCAATATAAATTCCCAAAATTAAAAATGACTTTTATTTTTAATTTTATAAAATTTTGTAAAACATCTGTCAATTAAAACAAAAATATATTATATTTATATAACAATTTAATATAAAACTCATTAAAAAAAATTTGTAAACTTTTCAGTGATAAGATTTCTTCCAAACAAAACAATGATACATTTGAAAAAAATATAATTGTAAATCAAGTAGTTGTTTGTTTAAAAGTTAAACAACGTCCTTTTGTTTAAAAAATTCTGAAGGTTTTAAGTGATTTACAATTTTCATTCTCAATTTTCTCCTTTACTTTTGAGCATTGCTGCTTACCTTACTGCTTGGCACATGTCAGTTGTTGGGGATGAACTATAAGTTTGATCAAAATCGATGACTCCAACGTCATGCCATCTCCTTGTTAGATCAAGAAGTTATTTATAAACACACATTTTAATGTTTACCTTACTTTACTTTAGTTAGAATACATTAGAAGTAATTTTGATGTAGAAGCAGAAAATTTATATCTGATCAGATATCAATTTAAAAACAAATACAATATCTGAAATTATTGTTAAACTTAATTATAATTTCTATACAAGTTCTGAATCTGTTTAATCTGGATTTTTAAAATGATATTTTTGCAGATTGTTATGTGGTATCTGCAGATCAGTGCAGTAGGCTATATGTTACATACACTCTTGGATGCTATTTTTCCATTATTTTTTTGGGCAATGTGCACACTTTTCTCTTGATACTGATGTTGCCTTTGGAGAATCTGGTTTCTTTCTCAACACTTCCAGTATTTTCATACAGAGACAACTATCATTGTCTGCAAGAAAGACATTTTCTTCCTCAGATTCTTCATCAAGCCATTTCAGAAACATTTCATAATGTTCTGTGATAGTACTATATATACAATATCACTTCACAATTAGAACTGTACCACTTCAAATGCAAAAAAAAAAAAAAAAAAAAAAACAAGGATCAGGGGTAATCTAGGTTTCTTGGGGCCTAGGGCTTGTTGAAGTCCAATGGTGTCCCATTTTTTATCAGATTAAGAATCTTTAAATTGGAGTTTAAAATTCGTTTTTAATAACATCAAAATCAGAGTTGAAATATATTTATTTATAAAATGGTGTTGAATGACAAACTTTATATTGATAAGTGCTCATTGTTAATTAAAAAGTATTAAAAATTTATGATAATAATTCAATTTTTGTGGGCCCTTGACATTTGGGAGCCCAGGGCTTAAGCCCTATTAGTCCCTATGTAGATCTGCCCCTGCACAGGATTACTCATGGGTGAGCACTGCACTAACTTGTCAAACACAGCTAAAAGAAAGGTGGCACTGAAAGTGTTAGTGATGACTATTATTTCTGATTCCAGTATCTTGTTGAAGGGGATATTCAAGAAGGAAGGCAGATGAGAGGTTGGCCACAAAACTTCCAAGTAGCCCAAGTTACAAATGTTTTAAAATGAAAGGTAAGCACAGTGCAGCACTCAATCTTGAGCAATGGCAGGTTAATTTAAATTATAGGTTATTAAAATTTTATTACAAGATTTTAAAATTTATGACAAATTAAAACTTATTTTAAATCACTTTAGTAAATCTCTTCTTATCAATTTTAATTCTTTAATTATGAGTTGGAAAGTCTTATGATGGAATAAATTTCCTAAAGATATTTTGATACTTTTGCTACCATGATCAATAAACAAACTTTAATTATGGATTGATTAAAAAGGCTGACAAGAACTCATGTTTGGCTTTCCCAGCACTCAGTGTTACATATAACTTTAACTTTGTAAAATTATCTGTTATGAGATTTTATTAAAAAATCATTTTTATATTATTATTAATTATTATAAAAAGACAAATGGCCAATTTTTGGAGTTAGGAGTGACTTTTTAAAGAAACTGTGAATGCTAATAAATGAAACTTTCTTTAATTCCATTTGAGATAACCTATGACCCAATCCTATCTATCTCCCCACCCCCTTGGCCTTTAACTACCAAAATTTAATATCAATGCCCCATATAAAGAAATAAACCAATCAAGTTTGGTTCATCCAGTCCTGAGAAATAATGCAAAATAGATGACAACATGGAATTTTGTAAGAGGTTTGTGTTTTTACATTTTTGGCTCATGGAGTGTTAAAACATTGAAAAATGCAAAAAGACAGTCAAATTTTGAACTCCCCAGATACTTTCCATAATTTCCCTGTTATAAATTATATTACATAACAGCTAGACAATACATTTTTAAAACTAAAATTTAAATACTTTATAATCTTAATCTGAAGCAAAACAGAATTTTTATGAATTAGAAACATTTTACATTAAAACACAACTGAATAGCAAGAGAATTTTTAAATTTTAATATATTTTTAAGACAAAAAGTTTATGAAATAATGGGCCATCAACCTATTGCTAGAAAATAATACTATGATAAAGTTAATAAAAAGTTATTTCATGATGTATGTAGAGGTTTCAATAATGAATAACCTAATCTTTAAAAATTATTTAATTTATTAAAAGATTATATGTATAAAAATCACTTATTTTTCACATTTTAAATACATTCAAACATTCATACATCTTACACACAAATTTGACTTTTTTCTTTCTGATAATCTTACAGATTATCAGGAAGAAAAAAAAAGTCAAATTTAACAAATAATCAAGATTGCTGAAAAGTAGAAATACAGTTAAATCTGTAGGAAATGTGAAGAATTCATTATACAGATAATGCACTGATAGCAAATATTTAAAAAAAAAATGTATTTTCAATATTATATTAAATATATTTATGTAAACCCAGTTTGAATAGTTGAATTAATTGAATAATGTATTTCAACAACCAAAAAGTTTTCTAAAATAAGAAATTTGTTATATGGAACTTTTTAATATGGAAGTCCAACTGTATATAAGAGAAACCATATTGATAAAAATTAATCCTAAAGAGATTGAAAAATTAGAATATCAATCATCAAATAACAAGCCAGATTTATTATCTGGCTACCTTTTGGCTAATTAAAGTGACCAGTATGGTTATATCTTTTTGGTCTGGAAGCAAAGATTGGATGGAGGTCTAGATAACAGTTGGCAATGCAACCAAATATATGAAAACATCAGATTAAATAAATATTTTTTTAATAAGTTATTTAATTATTATATTGTTTAAAAAATGAGATAAAAGAAATAAGGTAATTTTGTTTATGAATTCATAAGAAGAAAGTTTCTTCAGTTCATCCAGTTTACAGTTTTAAATATTTTTAAAACCAAAATTTTAATCTCAGGATATTTATTAAAACAAATACGGTAAAGTCAGATGTGAATTACACTAATTTGTTTTATGACAAAGTAAGCAATATACTTTTAACAGTGAGTAAAGTTGAAGAAATAGTAATGCTAGCATTTCTAGAAACTTAGCCACTTATCGTATCATATTATTGTAAAAATGTATTACTTCATTAAATTAACTAAAGTGGTTATTTCAACTTTATTTGCTTTATGAGTAAAGAGATAGAAGATAAACATTTGCTAGTCTAAAAATAAATATTGATGGGAATAAGCAATAACCTTTAATCCAACAATTAATTGTAATTAAATAGCAAAAGATTTTTGCTGCATTTATTTGCTATCCTCAGCAAGAAATTGAACGGCTGTAGCATAGAATGTCATACATGTAAATTGATTAGACTTGAATATAAATACACATTCAGTCATTCAGCTTTAGTCTCTTTCAATTTATCAGATATAAATAAGAGTTTATAAACAAAATATTTTGAAGTCCATGCTCTAAATGTTTTTTATTCACTCTAAAATTCTGGTAAACTTTAAAACTACATTTTTAATATAAATCTCTAAAATATCTTACTTTAAACTGTATAAAAATATATTTAAATATTTCAATTTGAAAATTCAACCACATATTTATATATTTTTGATTTATAAGTTAAATCAAGAATATATAACAAAATTTAAATCATCATCAAAATTTACAAAAATCATCTATTCTTTAATTTAAACATTAAAACATGTAATTGATAAAAACAAACAACCATTGTATTTTTAACTATTGTATTTGTTTATTATTATTGTATTGTATTTTCAATTATGGTTCAAAATAATTGCATATTTCATATTTAATCTCTATTTAATTATAATTAAAGCAGATTTAATACAGCCGAACGAGCAAGCAAATGACACAGTTCATTTTATTTGAAATTAACTATATTATTGTTTTGCTCATCCAGCCGTATTAATGCTCTTCGGGCGGCATCATCCTATATTACTGTAATTATTTTTTTATTTCAGTACATCAAAAATTTTCTACAAAGTTTGTAAACATCAAACAATTTTACTATTATTTAAATAACAGATAATTCCTCTAATAAACATAATAAAACAGGTAATTTAAATTATTTTCCATTAATTTACTTGATTACTTCAGTAAACATTGACATCTGCAGAAAATATATTCTCAACTGAGATAATACATTGCAAATAAATAATGCTTATTGTACATTATATTTAAAATTATAATTTAAACTTTTTCTTAATTTTATGACAATCAATTTTATGACAATCAATAATAACAAAATTAATTCAATAGTAATTAAATATAATTAAATTCTTAAAAATTCTTGTTAAATACACATTTTCACACGTTTTTAATATTTTTCTAATATTTTTTTTAAATTACTAAAAAATTAAAATGTATATTTTTATTTAATTATAAATAACTTATAACTTTTATAAAAATAAAAGCGATATTACCTGACATTGAACAAAATATCTATTAGAAATTATTCGTAAAATGGACATTTTTCCCGACGGAATGAACTACTGAAAATCAACAAGTGATAAACGTGTAAAGTCTTTTCTAATATCCGATACGAAAATTTCCCATAATTCAAATCTTATCATATCACTTTGAAATAATTTTTTAAATTTATTAATTATAAATTAATCTAAAGATTATTTATAAAATAGTTTTATTGAAATTTTATATTGTAATAATAAAATTCAATTATTTTATTAGGAGGAAAAACGGAAAACGGAAAAAATTTTATTCTCATTGAAGATACAAGAAATTTAAATTATTTGTTGAAATAAATATAAAATATCATTCAAGAAAAAAGAGACTATGCATAATTTATTTATTTATTTTTTTCTGTTAATATAAACCTATTATAGAAAAAGAGGTTGTATACTGATATACAGTATATTGGAAATATTTTAGTAATTATTATGTAATATAAGCCTATATTAAATTTGCTTTTAATTTGTATGTTTTCTGCGTATTCGAAGTTACATTTTCTAGGCGCAAATAAGGTTAATCATAAAAACATGTTCCAGAATTCTATTTTTATTTATTTTTTATCATTGCATAATATGTTCAGTGTTTTATTGATATATTATTCAGTGATAAAGTTATATAATTTCTATCTCTCTCTCGTTTTTTTTATTTTAAAAAACTTTTTATATAGCCTATATATATTTATATTGCCATTTTATAACAATTAATTATATATTAATTGTTATAAAATGGCAAAAAGCTTAATTTAGAGGGTTGGAATGAATTTTTTAAAAAGAAGTAAACTTGTAAATGCTAATAACGAGTAAAATCATTAAGTCAGATTCTACTCGCTATATGACACACCCCTTTATCTCCCCACTCCCTCGACCTTTAACCTCCAAAACTTAATAGCATTAATTCCCTTAATACAAACCTCCCTGGAAAATTTTTAAAATCTTCGATATGAAACACAGGCGTTATTAAGCTTCAAAGTGGGTGAATAAAATTGTGCCCCCACACATACACACAGATCCACAACTGTAGTTATGGATCGTCGAGAAATGCAGAAACTTTCTGCATTTCTCGACGATTCAAAATGTAAAAATTTTGGAGAGTTATTTTTTGACCGATCGCTATACCTTCCCTCCGTTATATATAACATCCAGGAAAGTAATACAGTGGTCCCTAGTACTTCGAACGCCAAATTCGACAAAAATTCGCTTCGGAGTTCGAATGATGCTTCAAATTTCGAACTGCGTGGGAAATGCAGTCAAAGCGTAAAATAAACTTGTGAACAAAGAAAATAATCTCAAATTAGCAATAATGTGTTAAAATTCACAACTGTTATAATTGAATTATACATCTGTGTTAAAAATACCTAAAAACTGTTCTGTTTAACTCAATATAACCTATTAATCATTGGGGCCGGATGGCCGAGAGGTCAAAATGGCAACCTACCGCTCTGGAAGATCCGGGTTCGTATCGGAACGGGTCGAATTATTTCCAGGAATTTTTCGGAGGGTGGTCCGTCCAGATATGTCGGGCCCCGTCCCTCACCACCCGGCCGACCCATTGTGGGCCTGGTCGAATCCATAATGGACTTGCTAAAAACTCTTTATCGATAGCATGGCAAACTCTTATATATGACACATGGCAAGGCAAAAGTTATGCTTCTCTCAACGGCGCATGAGCAAACGGTGACGAAGATTGCACGGGTTTTCTACGAAATTCCATTTCAGAATTCTTTCGAAAAAAGATATGTTCCATAGAATTTCATTTATTTTGTCCGTTTTTTTCCCCTGAAGAAAAACCGTTGGTTCGAAAACGTTAGTGAAAGAAGTACTGTCGAGTTACGCACCGTTTTTTGTTTTGGGTTAGAAGTAAGTCTTAGGCTGTGTACACATTAAAACGCGCGTTTAAAAACGCTTAAAGAATCAAGAGTTCTGCATAGGCATATATACTCAAACGCGCGCTTTTGGCCAAGCGCGCGTTGATAGATTTTTGTTAAAACGCGCGTTTTGGAGATATATGTGCTGCCATGTTGTACTGTACATTCAATCGCACGCTTTCGGGTAGAGTGGACGTACGTTGGCCGAATTGGAGAACGATCATTTCGATACTGATCTATTTATTGATGAAATCTAAAAGACACCTGCCATCGTCAAATGATTTTATATTCTAAAAGAATTAAAAATTTGGGTTCATATTATCTTAGTTTTGGATACAACGTCAGAAACATTCCATGCATCAGTCTATCTCGTAATGTTGGGTGCACCCAAAATTCTCTTTGCCTCTGCCATCGTCTTTTATACGATGAGGTCTTCTATACGAGGAGGCACACACAAGTAATTACTTTCACGTCCATTTCCAAACTGAGCCAGTGCTAACGCTCCACTAAACGGTTGTGGAAAGCCGAAGTAACAAGCGGTGTGTACGCTGCTAACGCGCGTTTAACGCAACGCAAAACGCCTAATGTGTACAAGCCCTTATATTTTGTGGTGTTTGTCTAATGACAGTTATGTGACTATCATTATCAAGTATTTGAATTTTATTTTGAATTATTTTCAATAATTCATATTTGATATGAAAATAAATTGCTAAAATGTAGTTTCTAAATCTATAAATTAAGAGTTTAAATTAAAAGTTTTATTGTTTAAACTTTTAATTATTAAAATTGATAAGTGGGAAATAGTTGAAAAATGAAATATGCAATGATTTGTTTTCATTTATATATATTTATTTCCTTTTTTTATACATAAATGAAAAACAATATATTTAAAGTTAAATTTTTTTAAAATACTGTTAAATTTATAACATTAATTAAACAATGAATTTTTGTTATTTTTTTACAGAAAAAAAAGACAAAAAATTTAAAATTTATATTACCAAAACAAGTGAATTTACTGAAGAGGAGGACCAAAAAAAACATTGAAAAAGCAAAAGATACAGATAATTCTATATAAAAAGAAAAATTTATATTTCATTTTTGTACAGTATACATTCACTGAAGTAAACTTTTTATTGTACAAGGTGTCAGTATATTTTATTGTACAATTTATAATTTTAATGTAATTGTTCCAGATTTTATTTTTCTTACTTAAAAAAAGGAAATGTCAATTTTTCTCTGAAAAGTAGTTAAATTATATTTATTACAAATGGTTAAAAGATATAAATTATGCAGTTCAAATATAACAAATTTATGCAGCTGATGAAAATATTCATTATAAAATTCTTTTATATAAATTTTAATAAAGAATTTTTTGAAAAAGTTGGAGATTTTAAACTAAAGAAAATGAAATGTTTTGAAAAAAATCTTATAAATATTTTAGTTAATTCCAGGTTTGGAATCTTGAATAAACTTATAAAGTTCAATTTATTAACATGCTTATAGTAACAAATATGTTAATGGATTGAATTGAATATGTATCTAGATGAGCAGCCCAAATAAATATAATTTATAAACACATTTGAAATATATTTTTAATAAGATTTATATTAGATATAACAATTATATATGTCATATGCTTTATAAGCATAGCATATGTAGAATGTTACCTCTAATTTATATATACATATGTTTCAAAAGTAAGAAATGAAGGTTATTAAAAAAAATTATTAAACATGCCAATTTCATTTTATAAACTTTGTCAAGCTACACAAGAAATTTTAGAAATACTTTCTTTGAAACAAAATTTTGATTTTAAGTCACTGGCAAAAAGATAAACTCATAAATTGTAATTTTCTTTTGCATTATTGTTCTCATATGTTCTAAGGATTTTTTTAAGATTATTTATTTTTATTATCTAAAATTCAATTTTGGATTACAGAAACACAGTAAATATATTTTAAAATTATGTACTATGTAAAGCAAAAAATAATAATTTCTAATGAAATAAGGATAAGTATACATAATAAATTCAAGAAATATAAAAATAAAAAAAATATAAATTACCAATTTTTGTATCTTTCATCACAAAATAAATAAATGATTTTATTATACTTGTTGAGTTTACAATTGTCTTTATTTATCAATGCTCATATTATATATTATGAAATTTTCACCTAATTTTATAATAATTATTATAAAATTAATATAATTGGTGTTTATTAATTCAAATTTATAATTATGCCTTATTTAAAAATCATCTCTTATGACCATGATTTTTAATACTATAATATTTCTCATTGAACAGATTTGATAATCATATTTTCACTCTGATCAAATACTATTCTTGAAAATATGCTTGCTTCCAGGAATTGAAATATAAAATGAAGGAAACAAATTTTGAAATAACTGGTAAATAATTTTTAGAAATTGATTTCTGCTACAAGATTTATTAGTAATTCATGATGTATATATCAGCTCAAGTCAATTACTAATGCTAAACAAAATGCTGCATTATTCATTGGACTAACTTAATCATTAATATCAGTATTTGAATTTTAAAAAGCCTTAAGAAACCTTAACAAAGTATAAGAGATTTTTCAGTGATTCTCATTGTAAAGTCTCAAGTTCAGTTCTCAGCCCCAAGATTGAATATCTCATGCAAAGCAATGCCATGCGTTCAAAGAGGATATGGTGGATAGTTTTATCCATCATACCACATCTCTGACAATGGCTCTTTTTTTTTTTTTTNTTGTTTTTATGTCCTGTTGAGTTGAATTACTCTTTTAATAATTATATTAACAAAATGCCATTCTATGCTGTCTTTAGTATGGTCTTCCAGTGAAGTCATTTTAGCATCTGTTATTGTGATTTTAATCTGATTTTTCTATTTTCTGAAATTTTACCAAAGTAAATATTTTTTCCAAGCCATTATCTGCAAGCCCTAAATACTAAAAAAAAAGTGCTTGCTTGATATAGTGCTAATTAATTTGCTTTTGTTGAAGTCTATGGTAGTTTAATTAATTGCTTTCCAGATCCATTGTTTAAATGCATCAATTTTCTTCTCTCATTCTTCTTCAATGTCCAGCTTGTATATATATATATATTTGTATACATAGCTGTCATGATTAGTAGGTACTGCAGATAATTGCTTAGGGTACCAAAATAATGTCTATTAAAATAAATTCTCTGAATAATAGTGTCAAATTATTTTCTAAATGAAAGATTTGCCTAATGCACTACAAATGCTTACTATACAGTTCTTGCTATATTAATAGTAGAAAAAAACCATTTTCTTGAGATTCTAATCTTCTTTGTCAATGACTTTTATTTATCCTTTATAATCTTTTGTAAGTTATAACATTTTTTTTTTTATAGAATTAATCTGTTCTTTCTTTTTCCAGTACTCTCTTGCATTGTCTATTCTGTAAAAAAAAAAAAAAAAAAAATTACATATAATGTTCCATCACTTCCACTTCTCATTAATCTTAATTTCTGCTAGAATAGAATTTGAAAGAACTTTTATCTTCTTACATGTCTATCTTTTCTGCTATACCAACAAGAATGGTGTTATCTTAAATTCTTCTTATTTTTAAATATTATTATTCTATAATTTTATTCATTAACATATATTCTTAGAATAGTAAATGCTATTATTATGAAATATTATACATATATTATTTTCATAATAATAGCATTGTAAATAGCATAAAATTTCTTTTTGAATATCATTTTAATGATATTCAAACTGATGATAAATTCAGAGGTATTTGAATTAGATATAATAATGATTTGTTGAAAATATAGCATATACTTGCATATGATTTGTACATATACAAAATAAAAATAATATAATAAAGTTAAAAACATTATCATAATAATCCAGATAATCTACTTGTAAGCTTTTATTAAATTATCTGTATCTGGATTATTAGGTAACTTTTTATTTAAGATTTATAAAGTTACATATATACATGATGAATTTAATTTATAAATCTTAATGAAAACATTATAAGTTAAAAAATTGGATACATATTCAAAAGTAACAGTCACCAACACCAAAATCCAGCAAAATGTAGAAGTTTTACTGTACTCTAATGTTTTCAACTATATATAATAGACATCTTCAGGTTTAATTCCACAGAACAGTAAAGTTACAATAAACAACTGTTCTGTGGAATTAAATCTGAAGATGTCCATTATAAACAAATGAAAACATTAGTAAAATTTCTACATGTTGGATTTTGGCATTGGTGAGTGTTATTTTTAATTATAAGTTAAACATGAAAAATGAGTAAAATAATTTATAAATTATTTAGTTTCTAAAAGTTGATTATGACAAAATAATAATTTACATTCTGCATTTTTCATATAAATTAATATTGTTTTCAGTGAAATTGGGAGTATCCAGGGATGCTTATGGTGCTGCAATGAATAATGTGTTAGCAAAACAGTTTTGTTACCATATTTTAAAATGAAATCAAATAATAATAATGCAATAAAAATGAGTTGTGATAATTTTTAATTTGTAATTATATGTGAAAAGAGGAAAAACTAGTACATATTACATTGTTTAGGTATTTATTACATATATTTCCAAGTAAAATTTTTTGTACAAAATACTTTTCTTCAATATAATTCATTGTGTAATCTATAATTCTAGTGTGATATTTCCTGGTTTATTTTTCCTGCTTAATTGAGGGAATGTTGATTTGCCTGAAAAAGATAATTTTTTTATTAAATTAACATCAATTGTACATTATCAATATTACAAATGATAGACTTTGTAAAATATTTCTACAGTCTGTTTGCATTCTATATTGGAAGATCATAGGAACATAATTGTAATTTTTTTAAATTAAATTTATATTTGATTATAAGCATAATATGACAACTTATAAAAGACTACTCCAGCTTATGTACATACAACTTATTAAAACTATAAGAAACCATGTACAAAATAATTTTTTATATGTTGAGAATTTGGTTAATAAATATCCTAAAACCTCAGCTATGAGGCCATCCTTTTGTATAAATCTCAAAAGGAATGTTAATTTTTTTCATGGATAGGCTGTGGCCTATAGTCATGGTTTTTGGTATAACTTCAGAATAAATAAAAACCAATAAGAAAGGAACAGCATCAGAAATAAAAACAACATAGCACAGTGAGATTTATGTAAGCAATGTACTAGAGTAAATTTTATGCCATTAATTAGTTGCCCCTGTGCATAGGCCACATGCAATGAATCTTACAAATACTGTGAAGCATCAAAAATCCAGACTTGGTCATTTAAAAATGAATATTAATTTAACCCTTTCAATGGTAACTTTATGATTGATGTTTTTTCAGCTTTGTGTTGCCAAAGTTCTAACATTCATTCAGAATTAATAATACTGTATTTCAGTTTTGAAATTATGATGAGTGTAT